CTCGTGAATATATGCGTAACATAACCTGAGGGTACCGAACTTGTACTTCGAATTTTTCAGGTCAAGGCCATCTCATCCCAGGTCACGAAAGCTTTATATCGTGCATCGGTGACGTGAGACATGTTTTATGGTTCATGTAGGCCATATATATCGAAATCAGTGTTGTATGTGTCAGTTTAGGCCATTTTAGCTGAATATAGCTGAGGTCAGGTCAGGTCACTTTAGGTCAAAAATGGTCAAATTTTGAAGTTGACATTTTTCAACAAAAAAGGTGTTTGTCAGATGAAGTTCACATATATTCAACGCATATGTGTTCAAACACATATAGACCCCGTTTCCATGGGCATCACTGATCCGGATCAGCAAACTTAAATCGTATTATATTTCTCGAACTCTTCGTTACATGATATAATTCCAAGTGGATTAGGCTTATATAATCAGTTAATCCCTTATTTTCATTTTCATATATTGTCTAACTATACTGGATTAGCTAATCCATTTTTACTGATCCGGATCAGTGATGCCCATGGAAACGTGGTCATATTCTGCTTTTTTTCATTCAGAAACGTATATGTAAAAAAAATAAAAAAATACAATTTCTGAGTTTTTATATTTATAATTTTCAAAATATTCAACATTTCGAAAGTCCGAAATCAGTTTGGTAGCCCTGTAGAGTCCACCCATGCAAAAAAAGGATCTAGCTTAACCCTCAAGGCGGTGGGGGGGGGGGGGCATTTTTTGCATCCATCTTTAGTTTTTTTTTCGATATATCTCCAGAACCGCTGCGCCGATCTTCACCAAACTTTCAGTACCCTTTTGCACATTGTGACCAAATTTTTTTTCCAAAGGCTATGATAAGTTGGCCGCTACGTCGGAGTGACGTCATTTCTGCCATTGTCGACCAAAAAAAAAGCTTCGCGGGAAGAGCTGTCAGGTCTATAAATTTGATTATGCATAAAAATGTTCAAGACATGAAATGTGTAGAATTACCAGGGCTACTATACTGTTCTCTCGATTTTGTTTTTGAAGTTGACCCCAAAAATAAAAAGAAATAGATATAATAGCCAAAAAATCCCAAAAGTTTTTCGATTTTCGAAACAAACGGAATATATGTAATAGCCACTATGGACTTCTATTCACATTCCAAGTATTAGATCGATAACTCCTTTTTGCCAAGTTATAACAAAAAAAAAAACTGTTCAAAATTAATGACGTCAAATTTTCAAACTCGATTTTGGCAATTCTAGACCACAAAGCGCAAAACAAAGACCACCATTAGACTCGCCGTGACGAGTGGCATCGAATCAATACCAATTTTATGCGAAACTATCAACTTTGACCTGAAATTTGACCTTTTTGACCTGACATTGACCTGACCTCCACCAGAAAGTGACCAAAAAAACCGTCCCTGATGGTCTTATAACCAACACCATTGAGGCGAATATGAAAAATTGGCCATAAAACATGCATCGCACAACCCTACTTAGTAAAGATAGGTTCATGTGCTGACCCTTGGTGATCGGACCTGGTATTATCAGTGACCTCCAATAGCAAAACTGTTCAAAATTAATGACGTCAAATTTTCAAACTCGATTTTGGCAATTCTAGACCACAAAGCGCAAAACAAAGACCACCATTAGACTCGCCGTGACGAGTGGCATCGAATCAATACCAATTTTATGCGAAACTATCAACTTTGACCTGAAATTTGACCTTTTTGACCTGACATTGACCTGACCTCCACCAGAAAGTGACCAAAAAACCGTCCCTGATGGTCTTATAACCAACACCATTGAGGCGAATATGAAAAATTGGCCATAAAACATGCATCGCACAACCCTACTTAGTAAAGATAGGTTCATGTGCTGACCCTTGGTGATCGGACCTGGTATTATCAGTGACCTCCAATAGCAACATATGCTCGTATAATAGGCAACTCACGCCCTATCGCTGATTTTTGACAAAATGCCCTTTACTCGATGTTGCAGCGCATTCCTTAAAAGACCCGTGAACGGTGAAACATTTTATCTTTGACTTGGCCTGTGATGTCATCGGTGACCCCGAGGTCAATGAAATTGAAGTTCCCTCGACAAATTTAACAAGGCTATCGAACGCCATTTAAATTTTACCGATCCGTCATAGTAGCTTCGGAGATTCGGGGGGGGGGGTCAAAAATCCCCCCCTCCCACCGCGCGGAAGGTAGCCGGGAGGCCCACCGCTTGCCGGGTTAAAACTCAGATCTTGAGAGCGATTACCGTTGTTCAATGCTTTGCATCAAAATCGGCCGAACATGATGTCACTCTGGCGTCATTTCCGGCCGATCTATAGTAGCTACGAAAATTTTATTAGTGCACAAGGTGTCAAATAAATTGATGCAGCCGAAGGTCCTAAAAGCTTTGTTTTGATACGTCCAGCGGTTTTAAAGATATTGCGTAAACACGAGAGGGGCTATGAATAGCCCTCCCCACAGTAGGGTGGGGGTTAACCCTCGCCCGTATTGGTGTTTTTCCAGCCACGAACGTTTAAGGGGGGGTCCGTTGAACCCCCTCCTTGCCGTTTCGCCCCTGATTGAGCTAGAGCTTCGCGGAAAAAAACGAGCGTGCTGCCCGTGACGAGAGAAAGCCGATGGTACCCAATTTTATCCTAGGTCGTCGGTCCTAGGTCATCGGTTGACCTTCCAGGTCAGGTCAATGACCCAAAAGTGGGGAAAACTGGGACCTGTTAGAACGTCGTAAAACGTGGCTGCTATTGGGTTTTTTAGGGAACTGATCACGAATATCATGTTAGCTATGATCATAGATGATGTCTTCATGCATTTAGGCCAGGTCGGGTCAGGTCAGGTCAGGTCAACCAGTAAGGGTTTTGCCGGGTATTCGTAGTAGGTGCACTAGGTGGCAACCGCCTCTGACAGCTTCGTAACATGTTACGAAGGCACCAAAAATACTTCGTAAATGTTCATATATGGTTGTTAAATTCGAAATCAGCTAAAAAAACTAGCCTAGAAAGATGCTGATAAAACTCGAAAAAGTAAACCGAGGTCATCAAAGGTCAATGAACTGACCTGACCTTCTGGTGACCTTGACATCCACCCTAATGCATGGGAGCAGCATCATATCCCATGTTTGAACGCTTGAAACCACGAAAGGACTGCAAACGCGCGGCAAATGCGAGCCGACATACGCCGAATCGCGATTCCGGCCAAACATGGTCTCGAAAAGTAGGTCACAGGTCAAAGGTCATTAGTCAGGGCCATTACATTTTTTAGGGTAGGTGTAAAATTGATTATAACTCGAGGGTACTGAAAGCTTCGTTGCGGTCGGCCGCTTTTTACGCGAGGTATTCGCGAAAAACCGAGGGGGAGTCCGTTCGACCCCCCCCCTATACGGGGGAGGGTTAACAAGCCAAAACGTTGCTAATTTTTATTTTGATCTGACCTGTGACGTCAACGGTGATCTCGAGGTCAATAAAATTAGGTTTTGCTCGACAGTTTTTCCAGGGCTATCAGACGCCGTTTCAGTTTTGACAATCGGCCCAGTAGTTTCGGAGTTGGAGCGGGGGGGGGGGTTCTATAAATAGCCCCCGCCTCCCCCAGTGGAGTGCGTTACAGAACATACCCCAGTGGGGCGCTGGTTAAGAGTAGAATTTTTGAATTATTGCCAACACTCAACACTGCACCTCATGGCAATTAATTCATTATAGGGCATTTTACCTGAACCAGCCTCTGGCCTAATGTCCCAAATTTGCTAAATTCCTCACCCTACAAATCCCCTGTTCTATTAGATGCTGCCATTTTTTTAAAACAACTTATCTTAAATCCTTGTTTCATCAAACTGGGAGCTAGGTCACGGGACACTGCGAGTCAAGGTGGGAGGGGTAGGAGATAGAGTGTCACTGCAGCACACACAATCAATCTTTCCATTGGTTTATCTTATATCAATGCCTGCTCTTTTCCAGAGCTGGCTTTCGAAGTTCGAACCTTCGGTATATGGCTACCAATGCCCTTGGAGAAGGTGTTGCGTGATAAATCGCTGGAAGGGCGACATTCAACGATTGTGTGAAAAGAGACCGATTGCATTGTGATGATAAAGTGAACTGTAATAATTGTTGTTCATGCGCGTTGTTTGGTTATGTGCAGACGTAACTTTGTTTGTGGCCAAATGCTTTTTATGTGTGAAATATTTCATGTAGGTTACTAGGTAGATGCTTTGGAAAAGTGAAGAGCTGCTTTGTCGACTGCTAGGTAGATACTGTCATGCATGCTGTTGTGCATCAGTAAGTGGCTGTCGTAATGATAAACAAATTTGGCATGGATAGGCTAAAGCACAGCATATGAAGCATGCTGGTTGATGACTAGTAAGATCCTGTTAACCGACTGGTAATATCACAATAAATGTCACATAGTAAACTATTGTTTTACGATGGTTGGCCAGCAAAGCAAAGCTGGTATCCAGATGACAAAAGGATGGTTTTACCATGATAAGTCATTAGTAAGCATTACCAGGGAGTAGCTAACGATAGTAAAGTCCTAGTTTCGTGCTAGTATCACGTGGGTTTTTGGGCATGGTATGACGACATATAGTTACCGTGTTAATACCATGGTAATTTTTACTGGCATTGGTATTCACATGGTTTTACATTCATATTAGGCCTAGTATTTGGGTCGTAAGTTAGTTTACCATAGGTAAGAGGCTGTTCAAAATATGACCACCACTCGAAAACTAACTAGGGTGGTATTTTTCTTAGTAGGCGGTACCAGGATAATACTAGCGTTAGTAGAGCTTTGGTTTCTTATTAGTTATGCTTTAGTTTCAAGGTAGTATGATGAAAAAATATTACCGTACTAAGACCATGGTATTTTGATGAGCATTGGTAGTTGCATAGTATTCCTTTGATATTGGGCCTAGTATTTGGATCGTAAACTGGTTTACCATAAGTAAAAGGCTGTTCAAAATATGACCACCACCCAAAAACTAACTAGGGTGGTATTTTTTTCTTTCAGTGCACAGGGACGCTGCCAGACGGTATTAGGCATACCTACGTGACTGACGGGAGTGAGAAGAGCAGGAGGAACAACAGATCCGAACCGTGCAGTGTAGTGCCAGACTGTGCACTGTGCAGTACGCTGCATCGGTAGCACCATGCTCGGGAGAGGTAACACGGAGCTGTGGAAACAGGTCTGGCTGAAAATGAAGACTACGAGTACTGCAATCAACAGTAAGTGAAAAGGTTGATCGGCCAAATTCCAAAAGCAAGGTGTTAAGCACAGGTGATCAATAATGCAAAGAACCCTCATTAACCCGGAAGCGCCGCTAGCCCCCCCCCCCTCCCTCCCCCACCCCCACCCCCTCCAAAGAAGATTTGCTATGTAAGCTTCTGAGCGCTACGACATTGGAGCACGAAACTGTCAGTGCCTTTTCCCCTATCAATGGCAAATCTTTTGAAGCAAAAAATGTATTTTTCTAACGTCAGAAGGCTGATTTTTACACCCTTGCAAGAATGGTTTTGACGTCAAAGACCTAAATTTTTAACCCTATTAGTGGCAGGAGGGGGGTTGTTTTCATTCACCCCTCAGGTTTTTCGGGAATATCTCTGAAACCGCTGAAGCTACGATGCTGAAATTTTCTGACTTTTCCTATAACTAAATTGGGCACATTCCCTGAAAATTTCAAGTTCATAACTTTACCAGGGGCGGCTCCAGAGCACTGGGAATTGGGGGTCCTATTCGTGAAGCGAGTCATTTGGGCGAAGATCACGATGGGGCAGATTCTACCCCCCCCCCCCCAGCTTGGTTAGACTTCGATTAGTGGGATCGTGTAATAATAACCCGAATTCTGAATGTCAGTTACTTTTCATCTCAATGCAATGGAAAAATTGACGTCTGTTCCAGCGCAGACCACGTAAGTACCACCCGCTCACCCACAGAGTCCATGCCAGGCACGTGCCCGTGACATCACCTACTCGCTGTGCAAATATCAACCTCTTGGAAAGAATTGATTGACAGCGCATCACATCACCACACAGCGGGTGCAAACAGATAAACAGGTAGACAAAGTGGCATTATACAAATGGTACAATGGAGGTACTATGTAGTGGATAGGGAGGAGGTAACCAGCGCCTTGATACTGATAATGCTGTCACAGCCGGCAGCCACTGGCACTCTATTAGTCTCATTCTTACTAAAGTCGACATGTACGTATATAAATGCATGCCTAATTCCTCGATGTGAAGGCTCGCGTCCCGCTGGAGGAGGGAGGAAAACCAATTATCCCCCCCCACACCTCGTGTTTCACTAATATCTTCTAAGCGCAATTAGAGCCAGCTACACCAAACTTTCATTAGCTTATAATAAATCAATTTGCCGTCAGCAGTCAGCACTGAAAATTTGAATGAAATTCGTCGGATTTTTCAATTAAAATTACCTTTTAATGTCGTCCTACCACGCCATTTTCGCTCTAAAAACTCGAAAAATTCATGTGCGTCTCACATCTTTAGTTAGACGAGCACGAGCATCTTAAGTAGTAATGAGTACGATCATTTCTAAATGTGTACATAAATCCAAGCAAAATAAAATGTGTATTAACCCTCGCCCGCACATGGGGGGGGGGTGGTTGCCACCCCCCCCCCCCAGGCAGTCTTTCTGCTCTGCACTCAACATTTTTAGAGCTAGAAGGCTGATTTTTCGTATAGCTGCTCGTCTATCCTTTCTTGATGTCCACTGAAAATTTCAAGTTTCTGTGATTTTTGGTTTCGGAGATATGACCTTGTTTTTCAGGTCATGTCATGACCCAAATGGCCAATTCTCAACATCTTGCGTTTGCCATGGGCCTTGTGAGCTTTTGACACCCTGATTTCGGCCTTTTTTGCCAGTCTTACCTCCCACCTATCATGGAACATGTTGTTCGACGATGTACAGGGGTCAAGGTCAGGGTCAAGGTCAACCTAGGTCATCTAAGATAATTGCGTTTTAGGCAAGCTGAATTTACTTTTTGTGAAGTTTTTTGACTGCATTTTTGGTAAAAGCTTCTCAGATCATGATTTCATGTGATATGAACCCAAAAACAATCGGTGCACACATCAGTATACACACAGACACACACAGACATGCAAACACATATAATTGACCTTGACCTAACTTGACCTGAAATGACCTCAGTAGCAAAATTCTGGTCGGATAGTGTGACAAAGAGGTTCTAGCTGGCTTGGCACCAGAAAACAGCATCGTCATCGGTATTTGATAAGCAGCGCACTTGATATCCAACGGTGACCCAAAACAGCAACATTTTTTAGTTCGACCTGACCTGGAAGGTCAATGACTGACCTGAGAAGGTAAAACTGGGTATCATTGGATTCGTCTCTTCCCAAAGAATCTTTTTGGTCTTTACTGCTAAGCTCTATCTCCAACAGGAACGAAATGGCGCGGGGGGGGTGGCAACCACCCCCCCTATGTGCGTTCTAGGATGGGAAAATGGCATGTGCGGGCGAGGGTTAAGTACAAACCGAATTGAGACCAATGTGTGATGTTTTGTCATCTTGGCTCATTTAGCTTCCAACACAACTGCGTCGGAACGAGAGAGGGCAGTGTTGGGCGGAAATGTGACGCAACCCTTTCGATGTTACTGTAGAAGCATTTTTGCCTCATTTTCTCATTTTTTGTTCATATTTTAACTATCTAGCCGGTGGATTGGCTGCGAGGCACAATACATATTACACACAATCCAGAATTGGATCTTAGCAGGATAGTGAAGGACTATGAAGCGACGGGAAGCGAGAGACAAGCCTCGACTCACACAACAGTGTTCAATTAGAGACGTGTAAACGTCGCCAAACTAGCTCGAGCGGATGTATAGCGAGCGGATGATAGCGAGCGGATATACATGCATGTCGGCTTGAAAAGGACCCAAATGAGCTGTTTTAATTCTATTCGTTTGCAGGACTGTTTGGATCTACTCGAAGCAAATTCATTCTACTTGCCATTGTAATTGGCGTGGGTCACCTTCTGGTGTACAGCACATCTTGCGGAACATGTAACTCCCTGTTTACTTCGTTCCGCAACAAGACGGTGAGTGTGGCAGGAATAGTCCATAACTACTTTATGTACAATGTATGCAAATGACTTTTTTTAGGCAGTGGATGCTGATCTTGTCAGCTTTAGCAAAACTGCCTGTCAGCTCAGTTTTGTGTTCCAATTGTTGGGTAATGTGTACTTGTGTTGCCACCAGGGTTGAAAGCGTTTAAGCAGTTAAAGGTGAAAGCAAGCCAGAAGTATCTTAGATCGGTATCACTCGTGTTTGGCTCTCGTGCCATTATTTTTCCGAAATACGGGTTCATGGAAAAACTGGAAGTAGGCAAGGCAACTTATGGCCTTGGGCAAGGCCATATCTAGCAGGTATATAGTAGTAGGGAAGTAAGATTTTTGTGAAACATGTAACCATTGACTTTCGGACGTAAATAGATAATCCTTGAATTGAAAGATAATTTGGAACTTTGCTTCGGGCACCAATAGGCAGTAGAAAAATGTTGTTCTAACGAATAGTGTTTGTTTGGCTATTGAACACAAACCTTCGACTATATGCGTTTCAAAAATAAGAGAACGCAAAAGTTAATAAATTCAGTTTGGCTAATTTTTCTAAACGGATGTTTGTGCTCAATTTCAAGACGCAAATCCAAACTCGAAGAAAACAAAATATAATATATGGCCAGTGAAGACATTTCACATTTCATTTATTTGACGCCAGGCGTGTTCTCCTGTTGGACATTTTCTCTCGGAATAGCAATGATACCTGATGACGTTTTTTATCAACTTCGCGTCGCGACAGCACAATTCATACACGCGGCTCCAAAATTAAGAACATTGAACATTGTATATCGGGGTACAATATCATATGGCCTTGACAATATCGGCGGCCCGTCTGGCCGGACCGGGACAGTGCCGTTTCATGGCATATGCCGTCCCGGCCCCGGGGAGAGCTGTGAGATATCTCCCCGGGTCAGGGAGATCTAGTGGATACTGAATGTATTGTCTATGTATGCCATTACGCGTGGCAGTCTGCGGGGTGGTGAGTGAGGCGCTTCCCCCGAGTTACTCACCCGGCACCTCACAAGGCACGCGTGGTCCCACTTCCACAAAGTAGCGGTTCAGCTCGGCGGGCGGTATATCCGGTGTGGTGTGGCCGTCTCGACCACTCACCACTGCCGACCTCACATGGGTCTTAGGGGCGGGGGCCTCAATCTGCGGCCGCCGCCGAATCTCCTGGCAGCTGTCATGTCTGATCATGCGCCGGGCGGCCCGGTTCACCCGTTTATTTTTGGCAGAGCTGTTGCCGAGTGTAAGTGAGCACAGCGCGGCGACTGGATAAGAGATCACGAGTCGGTTCACTTAAAATAGGCGCACGAGCATTCCTAATCCGCATCGTCCGCATGGGGGCCTGTGAATCGACCCGACAGGCCGGCACTCCGCCGTCCCGGCCGGCCGACCGGTCGCTCTCAAGTGGGACCGGTCCCAGGTTTGCCCGGACATGGGTCTTAGGGGCTTCAATCTCGCACATTTGCATCTCTAGCACCTTTCACATTCGATTCGCCGTGAAAAAAACTGCATCAGATATTCACCGTTTTAGGTCTTACCAATCAACTTCAAAATTTGACCTCACTTGACCTGACCTTGACCTGGCCTCGACCTGAAATTTATCCAGATGTGGTCCATATCACTAATTTAGCATGTCCATTGAATTCTAAGAATAAAATAACCCATAAAACATGTGTCGCGCACGCCCTCTTCTATATTTCGTATTTGGTGACCTGACCTGACCTTGACCTCGACCTTTGCATGACATTGTATGCAACGAATCTTGTCTTGGTAGCCTAAGAACACGTTTTGGGCAATCAGTCTCAGTCCATTCTTCGGCAACCACGGTGGAAGGCCGATACTGTAGAAACTTGCAATTTGTACCTTTGACCTGACCTTGACCTGACCTCTAACCTACTTAAGCAAAAACAATCGGCTCTTAGGATCCGCCTTGTTAGAGCTTTCGATTGCCGTTTTCCCGTCTTTCTACGACCATCGGTTCGGAAGTTAGACAGGGGGCATAATCTGCCCCCCCCCCACACACACACAGGGTGCGTATGGCTGAATAGACCAGCGGGTCTATTTAGCCAGCTGAATAGTCCTAGCCCAAGTCTTGTAGAAGTTTGTCGGTTGACGTCCTGAACATAGACCCCGTCAGAAGTCTCCCTACTCTGTTTTGTAACGTGTCAAGTCTGGCAGCGTCTTGTATTGTTATGTGTCCGTCATATAGGTATGTATTATATACGTCCTGTAAATTTGGTCGAGAATGGGCCTGGGTATGTAACGTGCAATGGAGTAGAGTGGGCTGAGTAATTTGTGTACCTTGTTGCATATTGCGTTGACGTGTTGGTGGAAGCGTAAACCCTTAGAAAAGTCAAGCCAAGGTGAGTATGAGTTTCATGAATGGGTACGTTTGCGCCGTCGAAAGTGGGAAAGTGGGAAAATATGTGGGTACCTACTGAACTTGTTTATGTTTAGGTCAAAGCTAAGCCAGGCTAGGTCATAAATGGTTACGAAAATTTTAAGGCTGGTATAGGTGATTTGAAACACGTTTTATGGTCCATTTTTACCATTGAATTTGAAAATAGTGTAATGTGTGCCGTCAAAAAAAAAAATGACTGGTTTTAGCGAAGTACAGTCACTGTCAAGTTAAAATAGCCAAATTTAAAGGCACTTGAACTTAAAAGTGCAATTTTGTTCAGGAAATAATGTGCCTCTAAGTTCCAGTTTGAGCTATGGCACACGAGGATGTTATTTGTTTAGATGTACGATATTTAGATTGCACTGAAAACTGCAATTGAGTGATTAAAACCTTAGCCATTTGTGAAGAAAATGTGCAAACATTTCTAGGGTGATTTATCGGTATGTGTTCAAGCACATACCTATTTTCCGTTTATTCTTCCATTTATTTATTTTCTTTTAAGGTATTTAGTGAAGCTTTTAGGTGAAAACTTGCAAGTATAATGTAAGAAATTGAGAATTTTCAAAATATGCGATAATACTCGTAGCTTGAGCGATGGCTTGAGCGCAATTACCGTAAGTCCATGTGCTACATTGAAATCGACCGAACATGACGTCACTCTGGCGTCATTTCTGGGCAACCTCTAGTAGGTACGAAATTTTCCTTTGGAAACAATGTCAAATTGATGTACCCGAGGGTACTAAAAGCTTCGAGTTGGTGCATGCTTGAAGCATCGTTAACGGGGAGGGCTTCAAGTAACGGCTGTGGCAGCACTAAAAGCAAGGTCTACGGTAGTTTTTTTTTTTTAGTTATTGATAAAGGGTGGCTAACTACAGCATTGGACTTAAACTCAGATTTGATTATGCGACTTTATGGACTGAGCCGAGACAAAGTTAAATTATTTGCCATGATGTTAATTTTTCTCAAATTTCTCTAAATAATGTATATGACTTTGACATTTAAAACCCGCGCCCCGTTGGGCTCTGCCGAGCAAAGCGCCCCGTTGGCCCCCCCCCCTAAGATCTCGAGAACCACGCAACCTAGCGACAAGCGGCAAACGGTGTTGGATAGCCCTATCAGGGAACTACCTCGTGACCCAATTTTATTGACCTAGGTCAAACCGATGACGTCACAGGTCAGGTCAAAGGTCGAATTTTCACCATTTACATGCATTTCAAGAAATGCGTTGTAAAATCGAGTAAAATGCATTTCATTGAAAATCATCGATGGGAAATGTTCTTCAAACACATATTTTGCTATTTGAGGTCACTGATAGCAGGTCAGGTCACAGAGGTCAGGTCACTGGGGGGTCACATTATGAAAGTGTCGTGTGATACATGTTTTATGGTCCATTTCACATGACAAATGCGATTATGTGGGTCAGGCAGCCTTTGGGGCCAGCTTAGGTCACGTTTTGGTCAAGGTCAGGTCAAAGTCAGGTCAAATTAGGTCAAATTTCAAAGTTAATATTTTTGCATGAAATGGGTACCTAATCGATGCAGCTCGTCACGGGGAGTTCAATAGTGGTCTTTGTTTTACCATACGTGGTCTAGAATTGCTAAAATTTGAGTTCCAAAATTTGACGTCATCATTTTTGAACAGTTATTTCGCTATAACTTGGCCAAAAACGAGATATCGATCTGAAATTTGGTATGTACATAGAAGAGTGCAGGACCTATCACATATTCCCTTTTTTCAAAATTCGGGAAAATTTTGGATTTTTTTTAGTTTTTCTAAAACAAATAATTTTTTGAACTTTTTTGGGGTAAAAATCCCAAAATTTTGAAAATCCGAGATAGCAGTTTTGTAGCGCTGCTTTTGTCTACTAGACCATTTAAAGAACTTTGAAATTGCTTGATAACTGTAGATTTGGTGAGCGTTTCAAGATTGCATGTTTTCTGCTCATTTTTGCTCGAACATGACCTCAGTTTGACCTCAATAACTCCTGACTTAAGGTGACCTAAGACTTGAAATTTGGTGTGAAGGTGTCAAATTGATGCCCGGGAAGGTAGGAGGGCAATGAACATTGTATGCTATGTAGGAGGTAAAGCTTATCATGGCTATTGCACAATTATTTGAATGTTTTTTGCAAATTCTTCATATCAAAATATTTAAACCTCCCCTGGCAGGGGGGGGGGTCGATGCGACCCCCCCCCCTAAGGCTTTTCGAAGATAGCGTAAAAACGGCGGCGCACAGCGCCGCCAAATTTGACACAGCCTATGGGGCAACCTTTTTACATATGACCTGAAAATTTCAGGTCCGGGTGACCTTGGGTCAGGTCACCAGGTCAGAAAAACCGGTACAAGGTCATGGTCAAATTTCAATTTTCTTTTTGCACCTGTCCAACTCACATTTTTTGACTGATTTCCTTCAAACTTTCAGGATGTGCTAAGTTCACCGAGTTGTATAACATATAGTCCGGCTTTTTTGAGGTCACTGACCTGAGGTCAGTTAGAGGTCATTACGTCGTAATGTTAAGCCTATGGGAAAATACTAAATTCGGAAAATACTGGAGATATCCGCTTCGTTCTATCACTTTTGTGCTTTGAAACCACGGTACTTAACAGCAGCTCACTTGGTGCTTCTTTGTTTGGTGTACTTATCCATGGGTCAGGTCAAATGAGGTCAACTGAGTTTAAATGACGTTTTTGCCAATAACTTTGCACATAATGACGCTAGAGCTTAAAAAATGGTAGCATTGTGTTCCTGGTGATCAGCCGAATCGAATGATATGCGATATGATGCAATTTGGTTAACTTGAACTTAATTTATGAATTTAAGTTTACTTAAAATTTAAGAAAAACTTTAAGTACACTTAAGTAAGTTAAAAAGTATATCATTCGACGCGCCTTGACGTGCTGAGTTCACTGGTGCTTTTCTTTTTGCTCTATCTTAATTAGATCAAAAGTTATAAGCGAAAAACTTTTGACCTGTTTTTAGCGAAATTTTTGCATTTATACCCCCCAAACCCCCCTAAATATTGACCTAGAGCAACCAAATTTGCACAGGGGCGAGAACTCCAGGAGGCCCACCTACCTACCAAATTTGGTGTTTCTAGGTGCCATAGGAGCCAATCGCGAGGGGGGTCGCATCGACCCCCCCCCCCTGCCATGCCCTGCCAGGGCGAGGGTTAACTAAAATTTCATTTCCCAGATGTTTTTTCAAACACGATACAAACATGATTCGATGAATTATTTTAAGAAGGTTGAAGGGTCATATTCTCCCTTTCTTATTCGTTCTCCTTTGCCCTTATCGTCGGCCCCAGGCGTTACGCTTCCTTATTTGGTGAAAGGTGTAGTGAAATAACCGATTACGATTATATTTCACGATATCCTGCAATGTCAACCAAACATTATGTCCGCACAATCATATCTAACCGTCCTATTTCGCAGGTTGTCTTGCCAGCACTCGCAGGAACGTTTCAGCCTTCAAGAGCGGACAGCGTTCAGACTGATGATCTGGCCAGCCCGAATAGAACCCTGCCTCCCGCACAGCCTCTGCCAGAGAACACCAGCTCAGATGCGCGGTGCAGAGCTCGTCTATTATCGGGCAACAACAGATCTGTGAGTACCGAAATTGCTGCTCAATGACTCGGGCTGCAACATGCAACTCTTCACGGCTGAGGGGTGTCGTATTACGCGCAAAGCATGTCGAGCCTCAAAGCAGTGTCAAAATGGTTCGGTGATCTTTTCGAAGGATTTTAGGAAGGGGACTGCGTTGCTGTTTCACCATCGTAATTAGTGGGTGGTTTGGAGCTGTAACAATTCGGGTAAATGTATGCACTACATACCTAGGCACATATTATAGTTGCATGTGAAAATAACATGTTGCAGGTAGACCGAAAAGTATGGATTCACCTCTGCTGTGTTAGTGACAGACCTATTTTTACAGGGTGGATTCATAGATCTTTCTGCTGGAGTAATAACAGGAGGATCAAATGGAAGACTAGGAAACAACCTTATGGAATACGCCACCATTTTCGGCATGGGAATCAAGTAAGTAGTTTCGTCAAACATGCACAGAGTCGCAATTTTACACTGTCGTGTTTGGCATGTGTCCAGGCACGTTTAATTTACTTCTTGTCTAGGAAAGTTCAACTCGGGGTGTTGAACAGACACTCAGCTCATGAAGCTGGTTAAATGGGTTCAGTTTGCATATCGCTGAATTTAGCAGGTATTTCTAGTTCGTTGCTCGCTTCCCTCATCCCTGACTCGCTAGCTAACAGAAAACGCGATAATTTCAAAGCGACTAAGGTAGCGACAAGCGACTAATATAGTAAAACAAATCATTTGGTGTTGCATAGAGTGTACGAAGTCACGGCACCAGGGCCCAATCTTACCAGTTACCAATGCCGTAAATAACATTTGGCAGCACTGGGCGGAGTTTACGGCACTGATATCAAATATATCATTTTTATTTGCACCCAGCTAATCTTGTCCAATGATTTTGATTGCGTGAATGCTAATGAATGTTGCCTGAACGAATGAATAAGTGAATGTGGAATAGTTCTGAATGTTACCAAATGCCGTGAATGTGCATTCACGGCAATATGATCATATTCTTAGATCATATCCGGCGTAACATCCATAACAGTTTTCAGATTCCTCCCCTTCCCCCTCCGACCTATAATGATGAAGCCACGTGACCGTCCTGACCCTCAAGTGACTGTTATGAAAAATCCGAGACACATGTACAAGTTGTAAGATCTCGGGAACTTATAACGTTCAGTGTAATTCCCCTGCGGCAGATTCCCTTGTGTAGTATACACTGAAGGCGTTTCGAGGTTACGACATTTTAGGACCATGCAGACTGCAGAGGTAGCTCACTTATGTTGTGACATTTCACAATGTTACCATTCACTTATCACAGTGACGTTATCTGACCTGAACATGCGGCTAGTGTCACAAGACTTTTCTTGAAGCAAATACGTCAAGTTGGTATCCAAATGCGAGAAAATCGTCAGGGTGATGTCCCCTAAAGATACCTCGGCCGGCGCGGGTTAAGATTGTTTTGCATAGGGGAACTTTAAATTCAGACTTTTCTCACATTTTCAGGGTCATGTAATTTTATAAAGGCTATATCTTCTCTCACAGATCGTCTCTCATCGTCTCATAGGCACCTTCACGTAACTTGGCCCACATGGCCCACAACACATGGCCCATTCTGCGTAACTTAAGTGTAACATTCTCTCAGGTGAATTCTTCTACCTGAGGTATAGCATAACACCCTGTTTCTTCCCCCAGGTACAATATGACCGCCGTGGCAACACCGTACCTGCTCCGCCGGATAGCGCGAGTTTTTCCACATACAACCATGCCAGTGGTAGCGGACGACTGTGTGAAAAACTTCACCCATATTTCTCCAGAAAACTTCGAAGCGATGAACGATACTCAGAGAAGGAAGGGAAAGTGGAATATTTCTTACTACTTGCATCGAATCAGAACTTTCTGGTACTATCGTGAAGATCTTCTTAAGGAATTCCGATTCAGGTATGATGTCTAGTGAGCCTTGATTTTCTTTGAAGCTTTTATATTTTGTCAGTTCATTTTAATCAAAGGATGCTAATTTTGTCAAAAAATATTTATTGTGCTCCCTTATTTAACCCGCGCATGACTGGGGGGAGGGGCCGAGAGCTGAGCCACCCTGCCGTTTTTTTATGCCTACATATATATTTTCTAAACCTCTGGACCTATAACCTTCGGCTGCGTCATTTTGACCCTTTGTCTTTAAATAGAAAATTACGTAGCTGGCATTCGGGATTGACGTCATATTCGGCCGATTTTGATGTAAAACATTGAACTATCGGCAATCACTCTCAAGACATCAGTTTTTTAAGCTTGATCCAATGCCTTTGCATGAGAGGACTCAGAATACACAGGGCTATCAAACTGCTACATTGGAGTTTCAAAACCAGTAAAACGCCTTTTGGGGAGATCAACGGAGCGAGGGAGAGGGTAGGCCTTACACGTGCGAAATTGCGAGGAGTTATCTCCAACTAACTTGTGCACTGCACCCTACTAACCGATCCCTAGCGATGTGCCAAATTTGAGCGTAATCGGCCAGGCCGTTCTCGAGATCTGCAACCGGCACCCTGTATACGTGCGCACGTACAAAATGGGTTCCAACTGACTTTTGCATGGCACCCTACTAACCGGTCCCTTGCCTTGTACTTAAAACATTTCAGCGCAATCGGTTCAGCCGTTCTCGAAATCTGGAATCGATCCCTGCACGTGCGCACATGCAGGACCCCAACTGTGGCACATGGATATGCATTGCCTACTATGGACGTCAAACCCCTTGAGACCCCACTTTTTTGCGACAATTTTTAAACGCGTCAACTTTCGTTGACAATATTCTGGCAATGTGTGTTTCAGAACCTGCCGAAACTTTTATTACTAAGGTATTTTGAAGCCAAACGATTATGGAAGGTACTTCTCATTCACCCGTAATGCTAAGGTCAATTCAGGCCCGGGCAGAGGCTTGCGTTCGGCCACACTCGAGCCCCGCCACCAGCGCCATCTGCTCTAAATGCCATCTACTTGCACGGGTGCAAGCACGGGTGCAGCGGTAGCGGGTCCGCTACCGCTACCAGCTACCGCCCACCATCAAGCCTGATTTTTTTTTTATAAATTTAGCTCGAATGTTTTGAATGGACGGATTGACAGAGCCGGAGCCCACGCTAAGCAGAGCTTGTTGCGTAGACTCCGACCCCTACCGTCCGATCGCGCAATTCCGAGTAACGGGAGAATTTAGATGCCAAAGTTTAACGTGCCCTTCAAAGCCGGACACGGCCTGTCCCACTCAACTTTTTGCGACAATTTTTAAACGCGTCAACTTTCGTTGACAATATTCTGGCAATGTGTGTTTCAGAACCTGCCGAAACTTTTATTACTAAGGTATTTTGAAGCCAAACGATTATGGAAGGTACTTCTCATTCACCCGTAATGCTAAGGTCAATTCAGGCCCGGGCAGAGGCTTGCGTTCGGCCACACTCGAGCCCCGCCACCAGCGCCATCTGCTCTAAATGCCATCTACTTGCACGGGTGCAAGCACGGGTGCAGCGGTAGCGGGTCCGCTACCGCTACCAGCTACCGCCCACCATCAAGCCTGATTTTTTTTTTTAATAAATTTAGCTCGAATGTTTTGAATGGACGGATTGACAGAGCCGGAGCCCACGCTAAGCAGAGCTTGTTGCGTAGACTCCGACCCCTACCGTCCGATCGCGCAATTCCGAGTAACGGGAGAATTTAGATGCCAAAGTTTAACGTGCCCTTCAAAGCCGGACACGGCCTGTCCCACTCAACTGACTTCAACTGGCTGCGGCTGCTCCCACCAACCGCAGACCATCCCCGTCAGGAGTCTCAAATATCGAGCGCCGGAGCGTTTCGAACCCGGGCTCTCACTACCGGGAGTCCGATGCTCTACCAACTGAGCTACGGGACAGGCAAATGGAGGCACTGAATGGAGCGAGAGACACGGGTGATCGGTCGCCGGGCAAGGAGCGCCGGAGGGGCAGGGCGGAGTGTAGCGCTGACGTCATTACGTGGCTCCGCCCCATGAGCGCGTAGCCTCTACCCAAACAGCAGATTCGTTCCGTGAAATTTAACATTACGAGTGAATGAGAAGTACCTTTCATTATCGTTTGGCGTCAAAATACCTTAGTAATAAAAGTTTCGGCAGGTTCTGAAACACACATTGCCGGAATATCGTCAACGATAGTTGACGCATTTAAAAATTATCGCAAAAAAGTGGGGTATCAAGGGGTTTGACGTCCAATAGTAGTGTGTACGTAGTACATACGTACCTACATGCCAAGTTTGAGCGCAATCGGCCCAGAAGTTACCGAGATACTGCAGACACCTCCTCGTTTCGCGCGTGGCAAGTGAATAGGGGGTCAGCCACGTGCATCGGGGATAATCCAATACTTGGTAGAAGGAATGAAGCTATACCCTACAAAAATTACCGCATGTAAATCGGGCAGGTGGTTGTTGAGATAGGGTAGGGTGGGGTAATTTGAACATGTGGGGCAATTTGAACGTATCTACGGAAAATCCACAAGTTGCATGACAATAAGACCAATGAGGGAAATTATCGCAACTAAAAGGGGTTGAAGGGGTTAAGTGTCAGGGAATGAGGATAATGACGTAGGGGAGAGCGGGGAGAGTTGTATCATGTCCAAGTTGTATCAGGGCGAATTGTGCCAAACTTATCCAATGGATGGCGCTCGCGACACGACCAGCCGACGAGGTTTTCCGGGTGCCATCTTTCCCTGTTCTGTCTTGTGGCTGAGTGGACGCGTCTCGAGGTGAGAGCCGATTTTATGTTTTTTTTTTTTAATGTCATTCTAAAAAAATAAGTTGCAAGAAAATGTGTGTTTTGGGCATTGAGATGTGCACGAATTTGAAAGATCTCCGTAGCGGTGGTGAGGGTAGGTTCTAAGGCTGCATGAGTGAAAACGGATTTCTCCAGCTGTCCGTTGTTTTTTAGCACGAGGATGTTTTTTCCAAGATGGCGGCTAGGTACATGTTGTATCAGAGCCGGGTGGGGTATGTTGTAACATGTATGTATGTATGTATGCATGGGTATGTTGCTTTTGATCGCGAAAGCTAAGCCCTGGCTCGCGTTTGTAGGTAGCTAGTCAATGCTCGTTCCATTTCGGCACAATGTGTTGGCTTCTTTATAATAATAATAATAATGCCATTTATTTCACACCATCATTGGTGCATACAGGAAGTTCCAGTGACAGCTAACACAATCATTACATCCATACATACACAAACACACACACACACACACATCAAGATATTCATATTCAGAACGTTAAAATCAGTGCAAGCACGCACATCGATCAAGAGGAAGCTCGTCTCAGCTTCATACATTGTCTGTAATGACACTTCTCACATGAGCATGATATGTCGGATTTTGATTGACCATTCTTTTCAGACTACCTAAGAAAATATTCAAAATGTCTGCACGAGAGGAGGAAGACAAGTCTAAGGCCATGATATCATATTCACGTCGGATGGCAAGATGCACGCTCGCTGCTATACCATTTTGTCCAATGTCACTGTCAAGCAAGCTCTTTATCAACACATTTTCACTACTGTGGAGTATTTTATAGAACAGAAGCTGTCTGCTTGCTACTAGCATAGGACAGGGGAGAATTTGAAGAGCTAGACAGAGAGGATGGTTCCTGAATGATTTCGGTAGTTTGACTATTTTCTTCACACATGAGTGATACGCCACACACAGTTCACGAAACACATTTTTTTCTTTACATGGATCCCACAGCTCACACCCATACAGGTTCGCGCAGTAGGACTTAAACAGCTTTATCAGAATTTCTCTTTTAGCATGGCCTACCAACGCGCAAAGCATATTAGCACGATAGTATAGCGATCTCTTCAGCTTACGCATGTCGCTGCTATCATTCAGTTTGCTGTTAATCACATGCCCAAGATACTTAAACTCATCAACCCATGTTAGGTTGGTACCTGACAGCCTCACAATTGGGGGTTGTGACATGGACAGATGCGAAGATGCACTTGGACGCTGGGGATTAAACACCATGCATACACTCTTCTTAGCATTGAATTGTATGTCCCTGGACACAGCAAACGATTCACATATTTTGACAAGCTCTTGTAAACCACCCCTTGATGGCGACAAGACAACAATATCGTCGGCATACGCCAGCACATTTACAGCACAGCCACCAACGTGACATCCTATGCCAGTAGATTGTAACATTTGAAGGAGATCGTCCAGGTATACATTGAACAATAATGGTGACAAGCATCCACCCTGGCGAACACCGTTTGCGACCGGAAATGAATAGGATGTGCTATTTGCCCATTTGACGCTCATCATCTGGGACCTGTACCAATGAGTTAACAGTTTCAGATATGGTAACGGAACACCCCTTTCTTGGAGTATTTGAAAGAGCTTAGCGTGATTCACTCTATCGAATGCTTTGCTTGCATCAAGGAAGCAGGCGTACACTGGGCTTCCTTGTCTAGTGTAATAGTGAACTGTTTCTTTAAGAACATATGTAGCATGCGTTGTTGAATGATTAGACTTAAATCCAAATTGCTCTTAACGGGCCACTTTTGCGTTTAGTCTGTTGATGTTTCGTTCGGGTTGCATTGACCTAAGTTTGGTCTAATAAAGTGAAGCCTTTGAGTATACCTATACATTGTATTAACCCCATTTAATGTTGTTGTTATGTTCAAAACCAGTAGCAAGCACACTCCCTGAAACGTGAAATAGTGATACAAATTACCCCACCATGTGATACAACTCACCCAAGCCATGGGGCAAGTTGTATCAAAAACATTGTTCTATTCGGCAGACCGTAGAAGAAAAACTAGTAGAGGTAGCGGAAAAGTTACTTTGCACAAAAGAGCAGAAGAATCAAGGAAGAAGATAGTATGGAAATAATGAGTTTATCACGGATAGTTATGAGGTTATGGGTCTCGGAGTAAAAACTGATACAACCCACCCCACTCTCCCCTACAGTCCACAGCAGAAGTAATGTGGGGTTTCAGTCATGGTTATGTTCTGCTTCTGAAGCTTAGGAACGATTAGCCAGACTACAATGAAACATTGAATGTAGCTTATATGTATCGTCACCCTTGCAGCTGCAATTTTAGCTATTGACATCTTCTTTTCGATCACTCCGCATTAAACAATCGCCAGTCAAAGCCAAGCTTTGAGATTGGTAAAACCCTACATTACTTTAGCGGTGGGCTGTACGTCGTACACTGTAAAGAAATCAAATTCGCAAGTAAAAACGTCCAACAACACGTCATTGCAACTTCATTGCAGCGAAAAATCTTCCATTGCTAGCGCCTAATACGCAACGGCTTTTGTTGTATGTACAATGAACTAGTCAGTGCCTTCAATCCAAGAACTTTGCTTTTGAAACCTGTTTTTAAATATGGCAAAATAACTTAAAGTGTGGGGTAAGTTGTACATAGTGTGAGAATTTCCATGACATTTTCGCCTCAAAAACGGCAAAATTTCAATCGCCGCTAACATCTCCATTTTTAAAGAAAACAAGACGTAACAAAAAGGTTATACGTGATTCTACTTGGTCTATAAAATGGCTATCTCTGTTTTGTTTAATTTTGGATTTAGCCCATTTTTTTCTAAGAAAACTGACTTTTTGGGAAAATAAATGTAAAATCCAAAATTTTTAGTTTATAAAAAACGGAAAATATGTCAGAGAAGTGGTGTATGTGCACCTACATACCAATTTTTAGAAGAATCGGTTCGAAAATGTGGGAGTCATTCAAAATTTTATGACGTCACGACACACAAAATTTTTGAAAAATGATTTTGTTTTTGAAGGTCTAGACCTCGCACGGAAACAAACATAGCACCATTGGATTTGCCGTGAAAAACTGCACCAGATAGACACTCTTTTAGGTCTTAACAACCAACTTCAAAGTTTGACCTCACTTGACCTGACCTTGACCTGACCTCGACCTGAAATTCTTCCAGATGTGGTCCATATCACTCATGGAGTGTGGCTATTAAATTCTACGAATAAAATGACCAATAAAACATGTGTCGTACATGCCCTTTTCTATATTTCGTTTTTTGGTGATTTGACCTGACCTTGACCTTTGCATGATATTGTATGCAACGAATATTGTCTTGGTAGCCTAAGAACACGTTTCGGGCAATCAGTCTCAGCCCATTCTTCGGCGACTACGGTGCAAGGCCGATACTGTGGAAGCTTGCATTTTGTACCCTTGACCTGACCTTGACCTGACCTCTGACCTATTAAAGCAAAAAAATCGGCGCTGAAGATCTGCCTTGCTGAGAGCTTTCGATTACCGTTTTCATCGTATTTATAAGACCATCGGTTCGGAAGTTAGACGGGGGGTAGAATCTGCCCCCACCCCCCTCAGCAGGGTGCGTATGGCTGAATAGCCCAGCGGGGCGCGGGTTGACAAACTTGACATGGCTTTCGAACGTTGTTTGAATTTTACGGATCCGTCCAATAGCTTCGGAGATACGAGGGGGCAAAAATACCCCCCCCCCCCCACCGCGCGGAAGGTGGCCGGGAGGCCCAGTCTACCGGGCTAAAATGCGTCACGTCACCGATGCATGATATAAACATTTCCGTGACGTTTGAAATTTCCGTTCCGTTTTTTTTTTTTCGTAGGATGATCAGGGCTCTGCAGTTACGAACAATACCCCAGTCATGCGCAGGATGAAATAATTTTCATCTAAATATTAAATAAGGAGCTGATTAGATGCATGGAAATATTGCATTAAATACTTAATTGCATCTCAAGTGTATACGGCACTTAGTATACTTACAGGTGATGCGCTTTGCCTTGGATGAAGTACAATTAGACGCATTTAAGACATTTGCCGATTGCTTGCACATAGTTATCACTTATCAGTTATCAGCAATCAGCATACGACGCACCATTGTCCACAGGCATGACCTGACGAAGTACGCCAACATGCTCCTGCGCAGGGTGGCGGCCGGCAGGAGTAACGTCACCTTTGTCGGAGTTCATGTTCGAAGGACAGACTTCGTCAATCATATGCAGGTGAAGCCGACGCCTTTTTCATGTGCTCCTGCGCCGCAGAGTACTTGATCGAGGCGGTGCCAGTGCATGGTAGACGCTACTAAGCAAGGGCAACGAGACAATGAGCGAAGTGGCAGTAACGACTAACGAGACATTTGAAGTTGTAGTCTTCGTGATTTTTCTTAAAGAAAATACTGGAAAAGCTGCAAATAAAGGCAAGCCCTTCTTTTGTTCCTTTGAATTTTTTTGCTTCGGCTGCTTTTAACCTTCGCCCCAGTGGGGGGGGGGGGGCATATGTTACCACCCTGTCGGGTTTTATGCGCCTATAATTTGTATATCTCGGATTTTTAATATCTGTGACCTAAGGTCAGCCAAGTGACGTGACCTTTCCATTATAAGTCAATGGAGAAAAACAAAAATGCCTCTAGATCCGTTTGAACGCATAGGAACAGTCCAAATATTTCAGAATCACAATGATTTTGACCACCCGTGACGACCAAAGTGTCTTTTTTGCTTATAGCTTCTAGAAAGGTCATCCGAGGTCATTTGAGGCTATAAACAGACTTTTGCCAATAACTCTCGATTGGAAAGAGATAGAACACTGGGGATGGCCTCATTGTGTTTGTCTTGCCGAAACGCATCGACTGATATGCAACATGACCTTTTCCGGTCAGGTCATGACCTTGACCTGAAGTCAAATTTTCAAGTTGACTGTAACGAAACGACCGGCTCAGCTTGCTTCACCACGTGTGCTTATATTTTCTGCGACCATCACCGGCGCACAACCACCGCACTTCAACTTCACACATAATTTCGGCTTCCAGAGTGTATTGGGTTTGACGTCCAATACAGATAACGACGAACGGTAGGTGCGTTATTGCTTGCAGCTCGTCCCGAGGGACCGACGAAAACCAACGACGAAAACATGCTCGACACCAAGGCCTCGACACACTCAATATACTCTGGCCTCGACACTGTCGTGACCTTGGTCGTGACCGGCGACCGCACCGCCCCACGACACGAACTCGAATGAATGCTAATTCAATGCCTGCCGCTAGATGTCTCCCAAGCTAATTCAATGCCTGCCGCTAGATGTCGTCTACATGTTGGGGAGCGGCGGCCGTTCGTATCGGCCGCCGGCAGCGTGCGCCGGCGCTGCAGCCTGCAGTTTCGGCCGGCCAGTGACGTAGGTGACGTGGCGGCCGCTGATTGGTCGGCGGGCGCCCAGCCCCCCCAGTGCTGCCAGATTTGGAGGATTTCCGCAAATCTGGAGGATTTTGAACTCTATTTGCGGACAAATTTCGCTTTTGGAGGATTTTTGATTCTGGAGGAAAATCTGGAGGATTTGTCGCCCGATTATTATATTCAATTTCATGGAAAAATATAACACATTCAATACTAAAAAGGCATTTTCCTGCCCAGCGTCACCCTACCCGTTAGGATATATCACGCCTCACCGTGAGACTGCAGAATGTCTCAGTCTGTAGCTATATCTACGAGGGTCGAGGGTACCAAACTACTGGCTGTCTAAGGGGGACATTTGGGGCAAATGCCCCCGGCCCCCCTGCAGCGCCCGAAATCGACGAAAATATTCGTTTTTTTATAATAGGAAAACTAAACAGCTTTTATAAGAAAAGGTATCTTTTAAACTGCACAGCAGTGCGAAAGGATTCGAAATCCGATGAGTTTTTAGAATTTGGTGAAACTTTTTTGGGGGTATAGCCCCCCGCAGCGTCCAAGACCGCCTTTCTATATCTACCAATAGGATTTGGAGGAATCTGGAGGACTTTTTGTAACTGATCTGGAGGATTACAGCCTTCCCCATCTGGCAGCACTGAGCCCCCCTATATAATGCGGCGCATCGCCGGCGGCGGGAGCAGGGTTACCGCTGCTAGGGAAATTTCCCTTTTCTATGGAAATCAGCGAAGATCTAGGGATATATGGATTTCACACGAAATCTAGGGAAATACCACAAACCCGAAAAATTGTTTTTTCAACAATCAAAATCATTTCTTTTTTAAATAAATTTAGTCCAAACCTTTTGATAGGAAGGATTCACAAGGACAGAGCCACCGCTAAGCGAAGCTTGTTGCGGTGACCCTGCCCTCTACCCGATCGCGCATTTCCAGTTCTATGGCAGAATTTAGAGTTCAAAGTTTAACGTGCGCACATAGCCGCGCCCTCATAGCCGGCCCCCTCACCGACTTCGCGTGGCTACGGCCTGCCACCAACCGCAACCATTACCTGTCAGGAGGCCCATAAATGCCCAGCGCCCGTCGCGCTTCGAACCCGGACTGTTATAACCGGGAACGCGTGCTCTCACCACGCGGAGTCCAACGCCCTACCAACTGAGCTACGGGACCGGGTCTCCAACGCTCTTTGTTGTCTCCAACCTTCGTTGAGCGTCGTCTCCAACGCTCCATTGTTGTCATGAATTATTCTTCCGCATGTCATATCAAATAAATATGAGAACATTTTTCACAAAATTCAGGTTTGATGCTGTCGTTTTAAAGATGTAAAGGGAATTACATATGTATGCATGCATATATAATTCTTGCTATTATTTCAAAACAAACTCCTTCTGCTTTGTACCATTTTGGGTGCGGCTAATTTTTTACATCAAAGTTTTTGTTTTGGCGCGATTTTCACAATGTCTAGCGCATATCACTTCCTTACGGTCAAACCTAGAGAGTTCAAACATTATAGAGTTCAGTGGGTCAAACTGACGATGCAAAATAATCTCGTCTCTTACGCCAGCACTACCGCTAACCATACGGTATAGTTTCCGGCGTCCCGCAACACACCACAATTTGCGATATACCACGAAATTATATTATACAGTAATTTGCTATATGCCAGCAATTTCATTAGAATCTCTGACGTTAACGTCACAAAATGTAGTTCATTGCTGTTTTGGGACGCAGCGACTATAACACGAATGGTTAAAATCACATATTTATAGTTAAAATGAGGAAAGTACGTCAAATTCCATGAAAATAACCGCATCTAGGGAAATGATTTCTAAAATAGGGAAATTTTCGTGAGAATCTGGGGAAACCAGCGAGACGCCAGCGGTAACGCTGGGCGGGAGACGCTGAGTCGGCCCCCGCCGAAGGGGTGCGGCTAATTGTGGGCTACGCTTTTGCGAAACTGCCAAGTTTGGCAGCCCAACTCGACCAAAGCGAAATACGCCTAGAACCATCCTGGTAACCTGTCAGACCGACTCAGAACGACTCAAACTGACTCAGACCGACTCAACCGACTCAAATCGATTCCGATCGACTCAGATAGACTCAGAACGACTCAGGCAGACTCAAACCGACTCAGGCAGACTCAAACTGACTCGACCGACTCAACCGACTCAAATCGATGCCGATCGACTCAGACATACTCAGAACGACTCAGACAGACTCAGGCAGACTCAAACAGACTCAGGCAGGCTCAAACCGACTCAGGCAGACTCGACCGATTCCGATCGGCTCAGACCGACTCAGATAGACTCAGAACGACTCAAACTGATTCAGACCGACTCAACCGACTCAAATCGTTTCCGATCGACTCTGACAGACTCAGGCGGACCCAGGCAGACTCAAACTGACTCGACCGACTCAAACCGATTCAGATCGACTCAGACCGACTCAGATCGACTCAAACTAACTCAGACCGACTCAACCGACTCAAATCGATTCAGATCGACTCAGACAGACTCAGAACGGCTCAGACAGACTCAGGCAGACTCAAAACGACTCAGGCAGAATCTAACTGACTCGACCGACTCAAACCGATTCAGATAGACTCAGATAGACTCAATCTGACTCAGGCCGACTCAAGCGACTCAAATCGATTCCGATCGACTCAGACAGACTCAGAATGACTCAGACAGTCTGTGAGTCTGTCTGAGTCAATCGGAATCGATTTGAGTCGGTTGATTCGGTCTGAGTCAGTTTGAGAGTCGTTCTGAGTCTATCTGAGTCGGTCTGAGTCGATCTGAATCGGTTTGAGTCGGTCGAGTCAGTTTGAGCCTGCCTGAGTCGGTTTTAGTCTGCCTGAGTCCGCCTGAGCCTGTCTGAGTCGATCGGAATCGATTTGAGTCGGTTGAGTCGGCCAGAACGACTCAGACCGACTCAACCGACTCAAATCAATTCCGATCGACTCAGACAGACTCAGAACGACTCAGACAGACTCAGGCAGACTCAAACCGACTCAGGCAGACTCAAACCGACTCAGGCAGACTCAAACCGACTCAGGCAGACTCAGAATGACTCGACCGACTCAAACAGATTCAGATCGACTTAGACCGACTCAGTCTGACTCAGACCGACTCAACCGACTCAAATCGATTCCGATCGACTCAGACAGACTCAGAACGACTCAGACAGTCTGTGAGTCCGTCTGAGTCGATCGGAATCGATTTGAGTCGGTTGATTCGGTCTGAGTCAGTTTGAGAGTCGTTCTGAGTCTATCTGAGTCGGTCTGAGTCGATGAAGTCAGTTTGAGTCTGCCTGAGTCGGTTTGAGTCTGCCTGAGTCCGCCTGAGTCTGTCTGAGTCGATCGGAATCTATTTGAGTCGGTTGAGTCGGTCTGCGTCAGTTTAAGTCCTTCTGAGTCTACCTGAGTCGGTCTGAGTCGATCTGAATCGGTTTAAGTCGGTCGAGTCAGTTTGAGTCTGCCTGAGTCGTTCCGAGTTTGTCTGAGTCGATTGGAATCGAATTGAGTCGATTGAGTCTGTCTGAGTCAGTTTGAGACTTGAGTCGTTCTGAGTCTATCTGAGTCGGTCTGAGTCGATCAGAATCGGTTTGAGTCGGTCGAGTCAGTTTGAGTCTGCCTGAGTCGGTTTGAGTCTATCTGAGTCTGTCTGAGTCAGGCGCGGATACAAGGGGGGGGGGCCATGGGGGCCATGGCCCCCCCCCCCCTTGGCCGATTTTTTTCAAAAATAAAATAAAAAGTTAAAAAGTTAAAAAGCTGAAAAGGGGGCCTCCTGAAAATAAAGTGGCCGAAATCCGATGAGTTTTTTTTTTAAC